TGATTTGCGGACTGTCTGTCTGATTGTCGCTGACTTGTGCCAATGACAAAAATATTAAAATTTCGCTCTCTTTTTCTATAAATAAGATTTAGCAAAAAATAAAGCGGCCCTGTTTCAAAAAGAAAATCCTCTACGTTTCTACATTCTACGGAATTTTCAATCGATCAGACTCATTACACATTTAAGTAACAATACCTTATTGTTCGAGTCAAGTTGTCCGTATAAGTAGGTACATTTCTCAACTTTCCTTTTTATTATTATTATGAATAAGCAGTTTTCAGTCCTGTGTCAAGTTAATGCGAATAATTGCTTTATAGACTGCATATCTATTGCACCGTATCTAAGAAAATTATCAGAATTAATTGAACGCACACAAGTTTATCTTCTTGCTATCGTTTATCGTATCTCAACACAAACATGTTGGAACATTATAGGTTTCTTTATGCCAGTTTTAGTGCAAAATAAATATTTTTAGTTTATCTATTAACACTTGGATAACAGAGCTTTGCTCGCTACATTTATTTATTTATTTATTCGAAACCTGATAAAACACTCCTCCTGTAACCCCCATCATTCTACATACAAATATTCATTGAAACTGTTAAAGACGTTTTCGAGATCTAGTGCACAAGAATTGCTCGTTTAAAGAAGTATGAATATGCATATTTTATAGTGGTAAAAATGATTCTTCACCATCAGCCCTTTTGGGCCCCATCTGTAGTGTCGGCCCTTTAGGGCAGAGCGATACGTCTGGTCTGGTTCTGATCGGACGACTTTGTAATTTATTAGCCACTTAAACAGAAACATTATAGGTTATACATTTGGACCTTTTTAATACTATGTTGTTTTACTACTTGCGTCGACCAGTGAACCGAATCCAAGACCCACACACGACCACCAAACAACCAACGAGGTTCAAGGAGGTCAAGTCAATAAAACGAAAAGTTAAAGTTAAATAAAAATGCCTTCTTTAAGGCCGTGATTATTTTAACACTAGCTACTCCCGCGCGGTTTCACCCGCTGTTCTGCTCCATTTGATCGTAGCGTGATGTTTTATAGCCTATAGCACTCAGGAACATTGTAGCTATATATCAGTGAAAGAATTTTCGCAATCCAACCAGCGGTTCCAAAGATTACCCCAGACATACAAACTTACAAACATACAAACTTAGGTACATACCTCTTTATAATATTAGTATAGATGAAGCCAATGGGCGAAAATTTTAACGATGAAACTACAGCTAATGATTGGTCTGTACAAAACTACCTTCACAATATAGTGATGGTATTATAAAAAACTGAATTATAAACGCATGTCAACATACTGAAGTTGGGAGCAGCAGATTTTTTGTCAAACACAACGCCAAGGTTGCGTTCGCGCGGTATATTGTGTCAGCCAATCAAAAGCATGGAACCTACGTCATATGTTTTATTTTATTGTAAGAATTTACATTAAACCCAATCATTAAAATACGATAGTAATAGTAGTGTAGTGTAGATTTTTATATGACAAAAGTAAACATTATTATGGTGACTACATAAAAGGCATACCTACTACATATAATTTATTTGCATGTAATTGCATTTCCTTAGGCGCTATTTTCATCCAACTACAACTACGCTATGCAACATACGGTACACACCTTATTCCACCATGATTCAACTAGAAACTTGCTAATCTAATACCTACCTATAATCATTTTGATTCTATCATCAGCCCCTTTCCATCCACTGCTGGACTGCTGGACATAGGTCTCTCTAATTCCAGCTGGAGGGTAAGCTACAATGTGTCAATGTTTATCATAACAGTCATAAGTTCTTCGACAAATGTGACCTGTCCACGGCCGCTTTAGTTTGTTAATCCTTTGCGCTACTTTGGCTTCAACCGTAGTTTCTAGGGTCAATCGGTAACATTTCCTCATACACATACTAACCCCCGGTTTCCGAAAGGCCGATCAATGTTAAAATCAATTTAATCTCTTGTCAAGTCATCTGATTGGTTGAATGAATTATCAACAACCAATCAGATGACTTGACAAGAGATTTAACAGGAGATTAGTTAATTTTAGCGTTGACAAACCTTTCAGAAACCGGGTGTAAGTGTGGGAGAGCCAAGCTTTGACACGAATTTGTCGGCTCGACCGCAAATATACCACGGCGTTGTGTTTCACCGTGTGAGTGAGGTTACCAGAGGCCCGATCCCTACCTTTGAATAAGGTGGTAAAACTACAAAGAGGAAATAGTAATAATAGTAACAATCAGCACAAATAGAGCTGGCAAAATTTCGTCAAAAATGTAAAAGCAACGAAGACCACAAAACGACCACAAAAAAAATTGAGCCAAATAAAGTTAATTATTTGGTTCAATGAACTTTAACATTTATTACACGGAAATCTTACCACAACTATTAAGTTTTTTAATATTTTACATTAACATATATCTATACTAATATTATATAGAGGTAAAACTTGTAACTTTGTATGTAGGGGGTAATCTTTGGAACCGTTGATCGGATTGCCAAAATTCTTTCACTGATACATAGCTACAATGATTCTGAGTGCTATAGGCTATAAAACATCAAGCTACGATCAAATGGAGCTGAGCAGCGGGTGAAACCGCGCGAGAGTAGCTAGTATAAAATAATTTTGAAAGGTGCTCAAGGATCGGATTAATTCTTGAGCACCTATCAAAACTATAATCATCATTATCAGGGATGGAACGACCAGCGAGCTCCGATATGCCCAAAACCGACTTGTAATAACTGCGTAAGTATAAGATAGTTCCAAGAATATACCTTCACTGAGAGAGTCCCATTAAGAGATGTACCTAAGTAGTCCAAATACTCCCGTTGTAGTCGGCTAATCAACATTGTGCCCGGTTGACATTGATTAATTGAAACTGCTCCTTGATGACAATCATAAAATGCGCCGTCTGCATGCAACATGTAATTGCATTGTCAATACCACTAATCCTCCTAATGATTCTGCCTTGTATCTGACTTAAAGTTGTATTTATAACTAGCTAGCTGACCCGGCGAACTTCGTACTGTCTTAAACATACCTATCTATATGTTCTGACCTTTTAATTTAAACCTTCCCTTTTTTTGTGAGGGGAAAATCATCATATGACTTCACCCGCCCAGGGCCGGGCGGGAGGAAGTATCAGACTCTTACTGACTAAAAACCCCCCTGTTCCTTCTCCTGCTCTGGGCCGAGGTCGCGGTGCCTCATTGCGCTTACCCCGCAAACCCGGCTGAACATCAGCCCTATAGGGCCCCGTCTGTGGTGGTCTATTGGCTCTTTGAGGCGCGCGCGGAACGCTACGCGCCGTACGCTCGGGCCTGGTTCTGGTCGGGCGGCGTGCTGCCCTTACTCGCCGACCGCAGGCCCGTGCTTACGGTGGCCGGAGATCGTCCCTTGATCCCCGACGCCCGTAGTGTCGCCAGCGAATATTTTAAGACCAAAATTATTCGAAATGGACCAGTCGTTCTCGAGTTTAAGCGAGACTAACGCACAGCAATTCATTTTTATATATGTATAAAGAGAAGACTAACGCCTCGCACGTTTTTTAGGACATTCTAGCATCAAAAGGGCTGATATTTCTCTCTCTCTTTTACTCCTCCACTTTTCCAAAATGGTCACTCTTTTTACTTTTGCAGTATATATCTTAGGCATTTAAACTAGTTTAATTTATCATTCAATAAATGGCCTGAATGACTACTCGAGTTAGTCTGAATCTGGAATCACCGTCGCCCATGGACAAGTGCGTTGCTGACTTTTTCGGGATTAGATATTTGCAGATGTTGGGATTGGGCCTCGGTAACTTTACTCACACGGCGAAATACAACGCTGTGGTTGTTTCACATCGGTTTTCTTTGAGGCCAGGGTATAACTTCGGTCGAGCCGACTCATTCGTGCCGAAGCATGGCTCTCCCACAATTAGTGACTGAACTTAAGCCGAAAATATATTCAAAATGATTAAGACAGAAACCCCTCCACCGCAACTAAGAACTGAAGACAAACTCAAACAGCTTTCTCTATTACAGTCAACAATCGTAGTGTAAAGCGCAGAATGCAAATTCTCAAATATTTAGTTTAAGTAGTATATTTATATCTTTCCAAGAAATCTCAGTTCCGTCATCATAATTCTTAGTAAAAATAATGTCAATAAATATGTAAGTACATATAACAAACCGGTTCGCTTCAATCATATCGAGAATAGTAATAACAAATACTAGTTGTTCGAAAAAACATGCAGTGTTCTCATACGAAGATATTAATATAAGATCAATTTACTGGTTAAATTCAATAAAATAGCCATTAAAACTTCTATAAATTGAAGCACCATTGTGTGCACACTCGCAAAGGAGGAGTTACGAGTGCGTTGCCGACCTTTTGGGGATTAGAGATTTGGAGATTTAGGGATTTAGGAGGGACTGGGGGAGGGGAAGGATTGGGCCTCCGGTAACCTCACTCACACGGCGCAACACAACCCTGTTGTTATTTCACGCCGGTTTTCTGTGAGGCCGTGGTATCACTCCGGTCGAGCCGACCCATTCGTGCCGAAGCATGGCTCTCCCACACTTGAGACTTGGTATAATAATATAGGTATAGTTAAAGTAGGTATCGTCCAATGATACATCCCCGCCAGCAATTATCTCTTCTGTGTTGTGATAGCAAAAGGTACATACTTATTGTCCTTCTGTGTATCTAATAGTAGTTTCTCTTTACATGACCGATAGGTAAATACTTATTAATTTCATTGTCCGTTCATGAGACGGCGCTCAGTAATAATGAAATACAAACAAGGTTTACCTACAATCGAATTTGCCTTCTAAGTGCCTATGGATACGAAGGCATTAAGTACTAATTGCAAATCGGGAGACAGATTGATATAGGTATCAATTTGTCTCCAGCAAAGGCTACCTATCTAGAAAAACTTGTTACGCTCGTGTCACTTTGTTTTTTTATCGCCAGACGAGTTGATAACATAATTAGTGATAAAACTTGTAATGGTGCCATCCCACATAATTGAATAATAACTATACCAAGTACATATTTTTTAGGACATTCTAACAATTACACCGTTTATTTAAATACAATAAAAAATTGAGATTACATATTAATATTAGTGATTAACAAGTTTGAATTCGCTAAAAAGAGTGCAGATAAGCGAATACAGCGGATTGCAAACTTATCAATGACAGGCGCATTCAAAGACACGAAGTTAGTCGCGCTGCGGACAACGAAGCGAGTTGACGTCCGAACAGTTAATCATCAGATTACGTCACGCCTTTGTGGTCGGGTTTTTCACGACCGTCACAGAGATCGGTAAACAGTCTGTGTGGACAATGTGGAACGACGGAGATCCTCGGCGCGAGCTGCCCGGCCACGAGGTGGCCATGGGCCGGTCGCCCGGCGCCGAGGTGGTGGTGCTGGACGACCGGGTGATCGAGGCGGCGTCGCGCGCGCAGCCAGGCGTCACCAACATCAACGTCACCAAGTCCTCGCGCCTGCACATCGGGCCCAAGTTTGTGTCGGTCACCCAGAACATCGACAACACCGAGGTGGTCAAAGGTGAGCGTTTAATCACATCTATGTAAACAAAGCGATTTCCTCAGCGTGCTGTTTGCCGACCCGCTGTGTTCACATCCACATATTGCGATATTTACACATATCGGAGCTTGCGCACATTAATATTATTTATATTGGCACCACCTTGTTATGATAACCACAAAATGCGTCCGTTTTGCCTGCAATTTATGTTTATCGTATGCACAAACCTTTATTCTGAGGAAGCTATGCCGTAATGTTCAGCGAAATATTTAGTTAATATTTTCCTGTTTTAGGTAATAGTTTCTTTATAAATATTCGACATGATATTGTTTATAGAACTGAGATGAGTTAAACGATAACAATTTTTTTAACGATTAGCAAACCCGTATTCGGTTCTTTTTTTTGAGCCAACCAGATTTAGGTAGGTATGTTTTGGTATAGTTTTTATTTGTTTTTCTTGAGGAAACATTGAATAAAATGATGTGTGGACTTACTACGATAGATAAGAACATACCTAATGAATTCTTAACACATAGGATGTACGTGTGCGTTGCGTAGTTTACCTTAGGTGTACACTGATTTCATGAAATTCACAATTGATCTACTCACTGCATGACCTTGACAATAACATCTGATACCAAGAAGTTGATGCGCTCTTACATAATCTGGGTGTTTACCAGATACATTTTTAGAAACTTGTACTTGTTAATTTAATTATGTGAGTGCCAAAATATATTTAGCTTAATCTAAAGAACATTTGCACGTACCTATGAATCCTGTTCCGTGATAATATAAGGCTGACTACAAAGGACGGACCAGTTTTAACACAAGTATGCAACAACGCAGCACTTGAATGTCCAGTGCGTGTGAACGCACCTTTAAATGTTAAAAAACAAAGATCAAAGATGGCGGTGTGTTCGCGTCACATAGGGAAAACATTAAGGCAGGCAAGACTTATAACAATGGCTAAATAATCATCATCTCACGTCTATAGAATATCGATTAGGTTTTGCCTTATCACCATGGTAACCCGGGAATACCTAGGTCATAACTACATCTAGACAAACTTAGTAGCTCAATTAACTTTACTTCTGATGTCTGTTGCACACGTCCAAAGGTGACTAAACGCCTCAGGAAAGACCCTGTACAAATTAAAATAAAATGTTGACGACTACTTAAGTTACACAATTACCTATATTGTACGTTAACGCACTGTCGACAACGATGGTCATGTGGCTAAAATTGGTCTAAGTTCCTTAAATGCTTCTCCTACCTTATCCGAAATGCAAAGGATCCACATAATATGGTAAACTCATTAAATAAATAAATAACAGTAATAAAACGTATGCATAACAACAACTCTGACGTCATCGATACTAAAGTGCATGAGTGCGAGACAGTGTGGTGTCGGGCCTACTCATTTTCCTATAAGCAAACGCAAGTAGAGTTCTTTAAAAAAAAATGTGATCACAATTTAGATTAGCTTCCCGTATTTTGCTGTCTGGAAGAACAGACACAAATCCCCAACATTTTCTTTCTAGATGTAGAATATAATGGTAGAAGAGTTTGGTGATTCTCCTTGAAAATTCTTCTGACTACCTGACGGTAAGCAATCAGCGTCGCCCAAGTTGACTTATCACAAGAATTAAGTAAAATGAAATGTCTTAATCAGTCTGTAAATTTACAGAATTTTAAGAGATATTCAAAGATAATGAATTCTTTATACAAAATGTATTATCCGGATCGATTGTTGACAACAATACGCGAATTGCTTTTGTGTGTGCACTTGCCTTCATATAAGTTCCCGATAAACCTTTGTGGTACATATAATAGTTTACACAAATTACGCCCTATTGTAGAAACTAGATCTTAACTCAGAAATAAAACAATGAATACTTGAATATTCTACGTTATATTTATAATTATTCAAAATATATATCCTTAATGTTGAATTCAACACCGTTCGAATTCCCGCCAAAAATCAGAGTGGTCACGGTTAAGGTCGATATCTGACCATAACTATTAAATTAGTCGACTATTACTTTAGTGTCGGGTATCACTTTTATATAATAAAATACAAGACTGTTTACTTGTCTATGACCACTGTCATAGACAAGTAAACAGGTATCTGTAGCGACAGATACCTGTCACTTTACAAATAACAACAATTGGACAATGAGTTTACAATAATACTATTAGCCTTACAGTTCGGCCATCCTTCAACAAGTGAGTCCTCTCACTTCAATAAGATTTATATAATAAGATAAATATCTTTAGCATTTATACAATAATAAATCTCCATATTTATTTAGTCACATGTCATATACCGTATGATCTGCTAAGATAGTTAATCATTTGTGCGATATTTGTACTAAATATCATACGTTTCTGCACCTATTGCTCATAATCTATGCTGACAATAAAACTATCTTAAATACACTCTCATCTTGCACGATCTGCTATGGTCAACAATCATCTGTACGATACCAATAATTTGATACCATTCGTTTCTGTACTGATCATTGATAGCCGGTGCTCACAATAAATCTATCATAAACAAACACTTGCACGATCTGCTATTGTCAACAATCATCTGTACGATACCAATAATTTGATACCATTCGTTTCTGTACTGATCGTTGATAGCCGGTGCTCACAATAAATCTATCATAAACAAACACTTGCACGATCTGCTATGGTCAACAATCATCTGTACGATACCAATAATTTGATACCATTCGTTTCTGTACTGATCATTGATAGCCGGTGCTCACAATAAATCTATCATAAACAAACACTTGCACGATCTGCTATTGTCAACAATCATCTGTACGATACCAATAATTTGATACCATTCGTTTCTGTACTGATCGTTGATAGCCGGTGCTCACAATAAATCTATCATAAACAAACACTTGCACGATCTGCTATGGTCAACAATCATCTGTACGATACCAATAATTTGATACCATTCGTTTCTGTACTGATCATTGATAGCCGGTGCTCACAATAAATCTATCATAAACAAACACTTGCACGATCTGCTATGGTCAACAATCATCTGTACGATACCAATAACTTGATACCATTCGTTTCTGTACTGATCGTTGATAGCCGGTGCTCACAATAAATCTATCATAAACAAACACTTGCACGATCTGCTATTGTCAACAATCATCTGTACGATACCAATAATTTGATACCATTCGTTTCTGTACTGATCATTGATAGTCGGTGCTTACAATCACTATTTCAATCAATAATCATAATCAAACCTATAACACAGTGTTATTCATTATTAGCGCATCTAGCCTCAATCTCAATCATAATAATCTCATATTGACAATTTAATTAATTATACCACGCAATTATGCAAAGCACTGATACTCATTTCAATAATGCATACATTATGAAACATTTCTTAAAATAATATATACTAACGTAACAAGTAGTTAAAGTACTATAAGTAAAACATACATTGTTTATTCAATTCAATGGCATTATTTCATTACTTTTTGTCATTTTCACTTTCATTACTATCCGTCTCGTAATCATCACCACTAGATTATTCGTTAAAATTTTGCCAAGTATGAATCTTATCAATTGCTATTATAGTTTCGTATCGTTTGTTTCCTTTCCTAGTCAGTGGGGTGTCTTCGACTACGAACCTATCATTCGGTATTTTTTTTACAATTCAGTACGGGCTTTGAAGTTTTAGTATGAGCTTTTTTTTGGTATAAGCTTTTTAGATTTACTTTGATTGCAGTTGAAGTTTTCGAAATTTGTTTTACTGCACGTATATTAAACAAATTTTGTAAACGCGTCTACAATTACTAAAATATACATGCTCCTCCTTCTAGAACGAATAAATAAGCCGAGATGATCCACATACAATGTATGAAACGGGATTTCTATCTTTGGACTAGGGTGTAATAACCCTTCCTTTTGACCTGATGGAACTTTATGATGTTCACATTGTAAGCAAGATGATACATTTTTCTTTGTAAATCGAAGAGAAAGAATTTCTCGAATTCGCTTTATCTCTTAGTCGTTGCTATGTATAGTTGCAATCCAATCGGTTGCCTTTATTTGCAATACGTCAATCACGTGTGTATCAGTAACGTCAGTGTCTTTAGTTACCGGAGCACGACTCAGAGCATTCACATGAGCCATACGTGCGCCTGCCCTAGTCGATAGTACAGTCGTACTCCAGCAGCTGAACCTACCATCGCGCAATCCTCCAAAGACACTAGCAAGTCCTATTAAACGTCTCACCTCATGTAAGTTTTTGGGTACAGAAAATTTGCATCTGTTTTACGAGATCCGGGTCGTATGCCATCTCCAGACACACAAAACTGAAAAATCTATCTCCCTTTAGAAGAAATAGCACTTCTTTAAGTGTAAGCCTTGCATTAGCTAAATGCTGGAGAACTTCTTCGAAACGTTCCAATAAGCCATTGTTAAAAGTCCTAGCGGAAATCCGGATATGATCCATGTAAATGACAACGTATTTTAATCAGAGAAAACTTTGTTCATAACTCTTTGAAAAATTGACGGGGCATTAGCTAACCCAAAAAGACATTCCTTTAGTGTATTGACTGTCAGGTGTGTCAAAAGCCGTTGCCTCTTGTGGATCCTTTGCTATAGGGATTTGGTAGTAACCAGATGGAAGATCAAGACTGATGAAAAGAGATTTGACCGACAATCTATCTAGTTGGCCGTCGATCGTCGATGATTTCAATCTCAATATCTCATTATCAGATAAGTGACTACCATAATAAAATTGAGATCGGAACTCATGTCGTTTTTGCTAATATCTAGCATGTTGATCTCAAAACCTTTTCCGAAACTGAAAGCTCGACTAACTAATGTGGTTTTACTTAGCAAAAGTGAATGGTCACTAAAATTTAGGACTAGAAGTGCTCCTAAACTATTTTAAAAAATATATTCATCAGGTAATAAGTAAAATTCCTTATCAGGCTGTATTCTTAATAAACCCATGGCATAAATAGACCCAAAGC